AAAAAAAAAAACTATGTGGTTTATTGGTGTTGAAGTAGAGCAAGAGATGAGGTTGACGAATTTATGTTAAACAGCGTAAAAATGGTAAAATGGCGCTGAAGTTTGGAGCACTAGCCCTTCTAACTTTACGTCCGGTCACCAGTCTGTTACGCCACTCTTTAGTGGTGCACCCCCTTCTCAAAAAAATCCTTGATCCACCCCTGTAATGTTGGGCTGTATAGGGGTGAAAAGAATCAAATCACACTCTCTCCCAATTACTCCCTTGCCATTATCCCATGACCCCTGAAAAAAGTGAAACTTTTTCACAGACCTACATTTTGTAGAAAACAGCAACAAAAGGTATCTAACTTGTGTGAAAAATAAGAGTAATTTTTCACTGGCTGAGTGGAATGAAATAAGTGAAAAATGTTTTCCTCACACGCTACTGGGGCGCCTGGGTATAGGTCATGTGACCTATGGGGTGGGCAGTTGTTTTTGTTGCGTCCCCCATTGCCGACTTTCCTGCCCACCCACCCAAAGATTTTAAATGTTTATACAATACCACTATAATGTACTAGCCTGGAACTTTTTTCGTTATTTCTGGTCTTAGTGTATGCTACTTGTATTAGCTTTGAATTTGCAATAATTAAAGGTCAGGTTGTGGCGGTCAGCTCGACATGGCTACCAGTGGTGTGTGAGAACAATAAAATAATGCTAGGAGCATACTCTATATTTCTTAAATATGCCAAAAAATGAGATAACTCCTTGAACAAAAGCACCTACAATGGTCTGAATAAATAGAGTGTTCAAACACATGAAATTCTTTATTTTACTTTTTACCTTTGCACCAAGTTGCCCTGGTTCACCACGTGCACCTGCAGATCCCTAGAAAACAAGTCAGAGTGGAAGCAAATCTAAGTTGATTACAAGTGCAATGTTTGATAACATAAAAGATGACTCAATTCATAGATAAGGTGACTGGGAACCAATTTTTTTCTTTCTATCTTCATCACTTTTTCTCTAGATATCTTGATGCCATCAACAAAATGAAATCTAATAGGCCATTTTACACTTGTGTACTTAGTTTCTAAGCCTTTGATTTGAGGTGAGGCTAAAGGTGACCTTGTTGTGATAGAGACCAGTATCTAGTTTGCATGATACCAGTGTAATTTACATTTGAAATACAACAATGTCTGTATCATAACAAGGACACCCTAAGCCTCACTCCTGTTTAAAGGCTTGGCAACCAAGCATGCAACTGTAGGTGATATATTGTGAAATTGAGAATGTTTTCAGCTTTCAAACGACCTGTTCATAGTTCTCTTTCATTTACCAACTCACCTTATCTCCCTTTGCTCCATTGAAACCATTCTCACCCGGTGAACCAGTTGATCCCTGCACAGTTCATCAATCAAGGAAAAAATATTTAGTGCTATCCTTCAAATTAAGCATGACTGCAACACTGCACAGTCAGCAGTAAATTTGTCTAGAGCTTGAATTTTTTGCCTGCCATTTTTGGCTTTCATTTTTTTTCCCTCCATTTTTGGCTTTCATTTTTTTCCTTTTTAGTCAGAGTAGAATATGATTGTGAACAGATCACTGAATCCTTTTTCTTATTATACCACCTAAACAGCAAAAATTGTCTTAGAAACATTTTGTAGGACACTTTTGAGATTGTATTGTTCTATAATTTCCAGTTTTGAATGTTTATTAGAAAACAAAATTAATGTTAAAGTTATGTGTTGTCATCTTTCAGCCTATGATTAAACAATATTCTAGGGATGAAAGCAATTCCTTGCATAAAGTATGATAGGCCAGCTACTTTCCCCTACCCCCCTTAATTGGAAAATGAAATAAGAGTCACAGCTACTGTTCCAACCATAACAGCAGGATTTGATTACACTCGTCAGAGGAAATGATGACAATTTTAAATCTTAAAAAATCACCTTTCGACCGGGTGTACCGTCAGGACCAGGTGATCCGCGAAGACCAGAAGGACCCTGAAATAAAAAGCAATTGAATCAATAAAAAAGCTTTCTTAAGAAAAACTACTGAGCAAAGGAGACTGGATCTCTGTTCAATACCTCATTGACCTGTCAAGAAAAGAATGAAATGAGGCTGAAATCTCTCACAATTAATCAAACTGAAATTTTGATGTACCCACCTGAGGACCTGGTGCACCGACTGGACCGGGAGGGCCTGGTGATCCAGTTCGACCCTGAAAAAATTGATGACAAAAGTGGTTAATACTCATATGTACGATAGCCTTCATTTACACCCGAGATCAATTCAAAACAAGAAATAGGCAAACTTAAAAGGTTTAAAGTTGCAGATGCAAAACCTAAATGTTGGATAAATGTGATGATAGAGGTAAAAATTCTCACCCGTTTGCCAACAGGGCCAGAAGGTCCAGTTTGACCAGGTGTACCTGGGGTTCCCTAGAACAGATTAAAGCAAAACAAATGATTTACACTCCAAAGAATAAACTAATAATTTGCCACTCGATTTTCATTGGCACAACCTTTTTAACCTGTGTCCATTTCAGCTACTCCGCTGGAAAATAATCAATAGTGAGGTACAACCCTGCAAACCCTGGTCATGAGAATATTAAATGAAATTATCGCCTACAAAATACCTTTATCGATTTTTAAACAAATTCTCCTAGTCAGCAGCTCAAGAAATACATAGAGAACATTAGGGAAAATAACCAAACTGTTGTTAGGATGTACATACTGATTTAAGGGTGTAAAGGGTTCAAGATTTTCTTGGTTAATAACTTACTTGGCCTCCTTTTTCTCCCTTTCTTCCTCGCATTCCTGGGCGACCAGCTCGTCCCTATGGCAATGGATAATTTTCAGTTCAAAGAACACACAATAAATCATTTGAGGATTAGCCCCAGCATACACAGACTAGCCTATAGCTACTTAAAGGTGAAGTCCGCAAATGAGACAGAAAACCCTTCCAAGTGTCAATAGCATGACCTGGCTTAGAGTATTGCAAGGCAACCTCCTGCCATTTTGGTAAATCTCCCTGACAGTTTCATGGTATCCATCAATAGTCCAGGACTGAGAGAGACATTGTGAGTGACCCCCTAGAGCTTAAAAGAGTCCTTCCCTCCCCCCCTCCAGGCATTTTGCAAGATTTTCCAAACTGGTAACCATTTATACCCTTAGATGGAGAGTCAGATACTGTGAGAGTAAACCCTTGAACTCTCAGATTAACATGTAACTTCTCCCTACAATATCCATATATTATCCAGCAAACAGGAAATGAGAATACTCAAACTTATAAGGTAGAAGTTGTTATCTTGATTCCACACCAAACTTTTGCAACTAATTTAAGGTTACCGTGCACCTTCAGTGGTGTCTCGTGGGCAAGCGATGTAGCACGTCTGGTTTAAACTGTAGACATCCAAACCCCTATATCAAATTAAAGCTTATAGGACTGGCTATCAGACTATACCAAAAAGTTTGAATTTTTCATGACTTCTAAATGCGAGCGCCCGAATCGCCTTTTGAACGTTACATGTCAAAGTGAATTTTGTTTTTTGCTTATTTAATGTGTTCCTCTGTTTCCGGGGCCAAAGCGCTTAAAAAAAATGTGTCTGCAATTTGCCATATTCACTTTCAGTGAAAAGTTACAGAACATTTTTGAAATAGGATTAAAAAATGTGGTGTGATCGTACAAAAATCGCTCTTGAAAAAAAAGTTATTAGAAATAAAAAATTCGGAGACACCTTTTTGTTGTTTATATGGAAAACTAGCTACTGTCAAAGTTTGAGAGCAATCAAACAAATTCCCTTTGACTTGTAGTTCTTAAAAGGTGATTTGGGCGCTCGCATTTAGAAGTCGTGAAAAATTCGACAATTGGTTTTTTTTCAAAATGTTTGGTATAGTCTAATAGATATCTACAGTTTAAACCGGACGCCCTGCATCGCTTCCATGTGAGACACCCCCAAAGGTGCACGGTAACCTTAAAAGGAAATGCATGGCAGCCAAAAGAGAAATAATGATTAGATCTTGGGTATTAAAGAGTCAAGTGCCTTGCCAAAACACAACACAATAAACTGGCTAGGCCTCAACCCTGCATCTCTATCCAAAGTCCAGTGTCCTTACGGAAAGGTCACCATGTTGTCCACCTTATCTGGAATTCAAAACACTGACCACTATTAACATCTGACCACACCTATCAACATCCCACGTGCTCACTACTTACTCTGTCGCCAGGGGGACCTGACCTTCCTTGCGCACCTGGAACACCCTGTGAGGCAAAAGAGAACTCAAGCCACATGAAGAAAATTTCTCATAACAAGACAGGTATATTTGAGAAACAGGAAAAGTATTGAACACTTTTAACTGCAACACTGAGTCAATAAAACACTGCATTGTTTGAGTACCATGTATCTGAGCAAGAATACCTTGTTAACCCAGGAGCATAATTATTTAGAATTGTTAATGGCAGGGGTTATTTTTTAATTTTTTAATTATAGACTAGTGAGCAAATGTTTATACTGAGTAGTAACATGCAATTCTCTTGTCGCCATAATTTTGTTTTCAGGCAGGTTATAGAAAAACCCACAGCTCTCACTGAAAAGGGAGGGTGGGGTAAAGAGATCTGGACTTTCTTTAGCCTCCTCCTGAATGTGAGAAAGTGAAAACAACGATGTTGCGATCTTATTGGCCAATTTCTCGGCCACTGTCGATTTGTTAAATGGTTTGCTTGTTAAAGTACTTACAGCATTTCCAGGAGCTCCTGGTTGACCTGATGGACCTTGTTCTCCAGTGAGACCCTGAAAACACATCAACAAATGGAGTTTTTTAGTTTCTTTTATTCATACTGAATCAAACATCCATTTATCTGGAAGAAATTTATAAAAGCAATGAAGGAAATTGTACATACTCACAACCCAAAATTTCAATTTAAAAAAAAAAAAAAAGAACTTTCTTTGGCCCAAAGTTGGGTTTGCACACAGAAATGGGAGAGAATCAAAATTTCTGTCAAACCCATAATTGCTAAATAATTGTAGTTTTAATCTTTGAAACAGTCATTTATATCACATCTCCATTTGCAAAATGAGCAGACTCAAGAACAGTTTTTTTTTAATCAGACAAAATGCTGCTCCTGTCAGTGTGTCACACAGTGGTCTTGCACTGAAAAACTCATTTTAATTGACTCCAATATTATGGGAAAAAACAGAGTGACAGTGGTCAAATTTGTAGCAGACTAACTCAGCTGCACCTTGTGAGCCCACAATCATTTTGACCACTGTGATGACAAATATCATCGTTGATAAGAGTACAGAGCACCCTAAACTACTGTCCATTTGTTAAGATTGCAAGAGTCCCAAAGGGATCACAGATAATAGTGACAACTGTTAGTAATGACATTACACCATTTTTGGATAGCATCCAATTTCTCTGTGCAATGTTACCCATGAATCACACAATCAGGTGAAAAGAATAAAAGAAATGATCATCAGCTTGAGAAGCTGTTGATCCAGTTTAGTGAATAGCTTTTCTTGTAAATTCAGGGGCACTATATTAGGTGTCTAGATACGCCCTCTCCTCTCCTCTCTATTATTTGTAGTACAGAATTAGAATTGCTTTGTAGTTATTACCTTGGTTATGTAACTACACTTACTACTATGTGGAGTTGAGAAATAAATACAAATACATATACAAGCTCTTGATTGTTAAACAATAATCAAGTCCAGGAGAGGAGACTGAAGACAACAGATATACATACCACTGATCCTTTCTCTCCTGGCACTCCACTTCTGCCTGGTGCTCCATCACGTCCATTATCACCCTTTGCTCCTATTTCACCTGGAGGACCTGGTTCACCTGCTTCTCCAGGTGCACCTTGAATGCCTTGTTCGCCAGCATCACCCTTGGCTCCTGGAATACCTGGTGAACCTGGAACCCCTCTCGGTCCTCTTTGACCCTGGTGAAGATAAGTTATTCACTCTCAGTTAAATCATCCCCAAGGACACAAAGGAAATGTGACAGCCAGTAACTACACTCAACTGGTTCCTGTTCTAATACCCATCCAACAAAGACTAATATTTTCCAACACATGGCATTATCCTTAATCTTTTGACCCCTAACAGTGACTAGCTCTGATTTTCTCCTTGTAGTAACGCCACTGAGTCACACATTAAGGTCAAGAGAATACAGGAAATGATTGGAAACTAAAGAAGCTCTTGATTGTTAACAACTTCTCCTTGGTAGCAACTCAAGAAATGCATTGTTTCCTCATATAGTTTTCGTCTCCAGCATGAATATATACTCACAAGACAACCTTTCTTAGAGATGAGAATTAAATTTTATTTCGCGTCCTAACTGCTTTTTTTTAAATACAAAACATTCACACTCGCTATGAATAATAATTTTTAGCGCAATCTATATCTAATTACATATGAATAAAAGAGTGGTGTGTACTGGGAATAACGATCTAAACAATTATGGACTAATTGCACTATGCAATGGCATATTGCAACAGAGAACAGTATGGAAAATATGCATGGCGATGTTAGGGTTAAAGGATCTGAACATTGAAATCAACATGACCATCCTTATTTGGGGTTTTATGGAGAATTTACATGCTTTCAAACTCCCTTTAAACTGGAAGGTACTCTTCTTAGATGTTGAAGTTCTTAGGAAAGCAATTTTCAGAATATAAACTTTGTAATTTAAGTTGCATCTGTTTAAGTTCTAGTTTTCCCACCTATAAGCACCAGTTTCTTTCAGAACATGAGTCATGTGTGATGAGCAACTCACTGTGTCCTTAAACTGTCCTGAACAAGGTTGAACCTTAGCATTTAGATTTTAATTCGTCTTGTTTTTTAGACCTATTGTACATTCTTTGGTTGTATCACACTATTGTCACAGGTCTTAAATTCATGAAAGGTTCAAAGGAGGTAATCCAGAGTAATAGGGAAATAAAAGTTGACACAGTGAAATTCAGCAGAGCATCATGGTCTTATGGAAGAGTTTTTTACCCCAGGTTACAAACTTTTATTATTAATCAATATACATGTACCTTTCCTCATTTAAGACAGAGGATTTGTTATACAACATTTTATTCTTAATAGTGACAAAGAATTGACAATGTTTCTGCTGTCTTTAAAACCTGTGCTGAGGTACATTTATCCATGCAGGAAGTTGCAAAGCAAAATGTGATTTAAATGGCTGGGAAGATGAACATCCTATAAATCTGAGATAACAAGAAGCTGGCTTGAGACAAATGCAAATGTTGAGATGATAAGACATCTAATAGTATTTGCAAAATCATTGGATGACACTGGCTGGCATGAAAATCTAAAAGATCAAATTCATACCGGTCGTCCTTGCTGTCCTGGGGGTCCTTCACTTCCCCTGAGACCCACTGGTCCTTGTCTGCCAGGTTTTCCTGTGACACCACGCAGTCCAGGGTCTCCCTAAAATTGCAATATAATTAGGTTTACATGTTGCAGTGATATAAAAGGTAATGACCTGCTGACCCCAGTTTAACACTTCAACTCCTAAGTGATTAGCATCTGATTTCTCGTCACAATATAATAATAATAATAATAATAATAATAATAATAATTATAATAATAATAATGATATTTATTACTTCTATAGCGCTTTTTCTATACAATATTCAAAGGCACATCAAAACACTTTCGGGGGACTTTAGCTGGACTGCATCAAGCAGTTTACAATATCAATCAAAGGAAACTTATTTGAAGATGCCCCCATCCCCCCAATTCTCAGTAAACAGGCCAGACCATATTACAGTGATCTCATGAGTGGGTTCTTTAACTTTCCCTGCCTAACCAAATTAACTAATTAATAGATGCAGGAGACAGGAACTACAGTTTATTCGTCCTTATCCAAGAAGACTACAATGTCTATCCATTTCTTGATATAACTAAAATAATAATTTAGCAATGGACATCCACTGGGTGGCTCTTCTTGTCCACTGTTTCCAGATCAAATTGGAATTTAGAATGTTGGTTTTTAGTCGCACATTCTCCACAGTTAGTCTAAGACCTTGAGTGTTGGTCCAGCCAGGGCTCAAACCCTCGACCTCCCACACAACAGTCTGGCATTCTAACCAATTGAGCTAACTGGGAGGTGGTTAATATCACCCTGGAATCACACATTAAAGTCACAAAAATAAAGGAATTGATCATCAACTTAAGAAGCTCTCGATTGTTTAACTCTTTAACGTTACATAAAAAAAAACAAATTCTCCTTTTCAGCAGCTCAGAAATTAAATAGATAGATAGTTTATTAATAACTGATTTGCACCCAAAAGTTGAATTATACGATTATTTACGAAGTGTATAGAGAACAGCATAAAGAATATGCATGCTGATGTAAGGCTTAACAGAGAAGTACAACCCACACACTGGCCATCCCATAACTTTTACTACTGCCATTAAGAAGTATATAATTTATATAAATTAAAAATTATAACTTGCTGTGTTATGAAAGTACAGAGAGCAGCTGAAAAGTTTGAAAATTGTCCTTAGATGTCCTCAAAATTTAATTATTGACTATACCATTTAGAAAACACTTCTGTAACCTGGCTTCAAAAGAAAAATCAAAACACCTATAGTGCAAAAAAGCTGCACCTTTGGTTTTTTCTAGAAAGAAATATATTTCATTCAAGAATGCCATTTTGCATAACTCCAAGTAGATAAAAAAGATTACCAGGCAATATCAAAAAAGATAGATTGATAACATCATCAGTGACTATGCTGCGAAGCAAGGAATAATTAAAATCATTAAAAACTGGATCATTGGATAATGCGATTCAAGACTTTTTATTGGCTTCGCCATTATGGTCTATGAGCCAATATACCATAATCTAATATCTGTACCTTGTAACATCCGGTTTCTTCTTACAAAACAAAGTCAAAAAGATATGTCTAATATCTTGGAGGCATTTTTTTTTAATAAAACAATTATTCCACTCGCGCTTGTTGGATATGGGATGATTATAGCCAACTCAGTGCTACGCGCCTTGTTGGCTATCTATCATCTCATATCCAATGCGCACTCGTGGAATAATTGTTCAATAGCAGCATGTGAGGTTGAGTTTTGGGACATCTATAAGTAATTTGCAGAAAGTTTGGTTAATCTTTTAAAAGGAAAATGGCAGTAAGTAGTAAAATATACCTTTAAAAAGGCTGAGAAAACTTTTATAATTATTGTACAGTAGAGACAACAATAAGGTTTTAATAACTTGATTCCTATATGTATATACAATTACAAGAGTGATACAAACATGAATAAACAAGCTATATAATTATTAAAGGGGTAAATGACATGCAGATTTCAAGTTTGCAGCACATCATTAAGAGAGTATCTTTGCACAAAGTATTTTAATCACACAGACTATTTTAATTACAATAATTATTATATATAATTATATCAATAATTTCTTGGCATTCCCCTCCATCACAAACCATTAAGGGTGGCTGATGCACAGTATGTTTGTTTGCACTCAACTGAAGGCATGCATGCTTACGACACTGCAATAATGTCAGGTTTTAATAACCTCATTATTTTCTGCAATAATCAGCTAGTACAACAAAGTCCTTACCAAGAGAAAGGAAAGAAATGGAACCAAGGATTGATCTTACTACTGCAATAACATTAAGTCAATTCTTTAAAACAGTTCATAGTTAATGCTCACAGACATATATAATTTATTTAACAAATAACTAGCTGATCAGAAATTTTGAACAAGTTATGCTTCAATCTATAAACCCATGACACGAGGTCCAACTTTCTAAGCAAAGATGCATGTATCCTGTATATCTGCTGAATGATCGGCCTTTAATCTTTAATCATTATAAGCCTGTAATCTATAAACCATGTGCCAACAACTGATTCAATAACAGCCTTACAATCACCAAAGAGAAAATAGAACGCAAAAGGAGACAGATCTGACAGGGATTCTACATCAACTGATTGTAGGAAGTTTAAATACACACATGCAGAATGCAAGAAACCAGAACATAGAGTGTTTGGGCACAATACTTACAGGTCGTCCATCGAAACCAGATTTTCCAGCAAGACCAGGAGATCCCTGGAAAAAATATGGACATATTGTTTAGATCATCTATCAACAAAGTCAAACTAGACTTATTGCCCTGATCATAACTTGCCACAGCCAGAGAAATGTTTCTTCACCCCAAAAACTGTGTTACTGACCTAAACACTTTTATCTCAAGGAGTAACAAGGAACTACTTTCTCCCTACGGTATCACTCTTAAATCCAACATTACAATAAGTTTGTGAGAACAGCGTAAATTATAATCAACTAGAAAAACCTGTGATTCTCCACATCGTTATCATGGCAAGGCTGTGCTCTAAGGAAAATTGAATGGAGCCCATTGCTCTGAAACTGTGAAATCCAGGGTGCCCAGCATATGCTTTTTATGAAAAAACTTAAATTCCTGAGTCGCCCAAGAGCAAAAGTAAGGCCCCAGGGGCCACTGGGCGCTGCTAAACCACAGCCTTACATGGCTAATGTTAAGAGAACAACACGGGGAGTATGCATACCGATGTTGGGGTGTAGAAAGTAACTATAGTGCTTGGGGTTGGAATAGCTCATGCTACACCACCAATCAGAGGTTTGAGACCTATGCCAATCCCAGCTTGCTTGCCACCATATTAGGCCTACAAGTTTACCTTTAGCTCTGATTAGCAGCTGTATTCTCCCCTCTTCTTAAGCTAGTCTCTGGGCTGATAACATACCACAATTTTTCAAGTTATTCTCCTTCCTGATAAAATACTTGGAATTGTCCTCAAAGCTAAGCTTTAAGAGGAATCACCCACAAAATGCAAGATATCTGCTTTTCAACGTTTCCTTAGGGCAAATTTAATCAATTTGCCTGAAAACATAATTTGGATGCCTGTGACATACAGCCTCTTCTAAAGCACAGTCTTGGGCTTTGAAAATACAAAAATAACTGTGCAGATAAGACAAGAGGTTTCCATCCTACCCTTTCACCAGGAACTCCCTGGTTTCCTTTACTTCCTTTTGATCCTTTTTCTCCCTAAAAGGAAAACAAAATTAAAGTTATTAACAATGTTGATCAATAATAACAATCCCTGGGTTTTCTCCAAATTTTCAAGTTGAAGCAGTCAACAGAAATTGAAGAAATTATATTCCAGGCAGTTTGAATTTTTCATTGCTCATAAAACTGGCAAATTAGGTTGTCCTTCTGCACAAGGAGCTGCAACCACATTGGTCACCAAACCAAGAAGAAAAAGGCTGATAGTTTCTAAATAAAAAGTTTTGGTGACTTAATTTGTCTTGTGACTAGCAAATGACAACCTACATGGCATGGTCTAAGTTTAAATTTTGATAAAACAATTTCATAAAATAAAATGGTTCATCACTCTTTCCCCATGGTTGTCAGAGTATTAGACTTTTAAGATGTTGCCTGCAAAAATGCTTATTTTAATGACAGGTGGGGCGGTCAGTGGTATGCCATATTTACTCACGTATAAGACGACCTTTTCTGACCAAAAAATCAGCCCTAAAACTTATACACAAGTTCAACTTATACATCAGCAAATACAGTAATAAAACATGGAAACTTTTCAAAACCTTTTTACAGCCACTGTTCGATTTCTTTTATCGCCAGATGGTGACTTTGAAAAAATAATCATCTTGGAACATTGAACAACCTCCTCATTTGTCCCAAAGGATTAAAAATTATGGCGCAAAGAAATGAACTGTTCCATTCTCACCTGGTCTCCTTTGAAACCCACATCACCAGACATACCAGGTGCTCCTGGTGGACCCTGAAAAATTGACACAATATCACTTGTTAATAAACTAAATTAGGAAAATAATAATAATACTTTTATTCACTCTTGCACATTACTGATTTATAATAGAAAAGTCTTAGAACACACTAATAAATTGTAAAAATGAAGGGCTTGTGGCTAAATAGCTGTTAAGTTTTCAAGTCAGCCTCCAGTTCAGTTAGGTTACTTAATAAATAAGATAAATGTGGGAGGACAGACCTAAGTTTACAGAAAACAGTAATAACAACAACAACAACAACAATAATAATAATTATAATAATAATAATTAATTAAATACCAATAATTATGGACTTTATATAATTATATAATTTAGCTTTGCCTAATTTTCTCAGGCAGGGAGACCACTACAGCTTAGCCAATTACAGTGGATCCTGCGTTAACAATGACAAGGCCACACACCCCCAAGTTCCCAGTAAACAGGTCAGACCACATCACAGTAATCTCGTGAGTGAGTTCTTTAATGTCCCCCACCTAACCAAATTAACTAATTAATAGAAGCAGGAGACGGAAATTACGGTTTATTTGTCCTTATCCGAGAAGATTAGAATGTCTATCCATTTCTTGATATCATAGAAAGGTAGCACATTCTCCTCAGTTATTTTAAGACCTCGAGTGTTGGTCCGGCCAGGGCTCAAACCCTTGACCTCCTGCACAACAAAGGATTGATGGTATTTATAACTTGCTGATGCTAACTAGGTACTGGTCACAATCACAACAAGGTCACCTTCAGCCTCACTCCAAATCAAAGGTTTGGCAACTAAGTTAACAACTGCAAAATGCCCTATTGTTACTTATGGACTCCATGGATTATTAGTAGTTTTATAATGTTCACATGCATGCAAATTTGTTTAAGATTTAACACTTGTCTCATGATTGTTCATGTCCTTTCGCCATGTCATTCTTGCTGTTGTTCTCATCATTGTCCCCACTCCCCTTAAGATGCTTTCCAGTGCCAACCAAAAAACAGCAAAACAAGTAATCCACACTTAAATACCTTGTTGAAAAGTCCCAACTGAACAAGAGTCACATAAAACTTACAAGACTAGTTTAGAAGCAGTTATGAAATGCATCACTTACTGGTGAACCAGGTGGACCAGGCTCTCCAGTTTCTCCAGTTTCTCCAGAGTCACCCTATGACAAAAATTACACACTGATTGAGCCCCAAAGTAAATCATAAATGACTGTTGGCCCATTACAGATAAAATTCACCCCCGTTTCCAAAGCACCAAGCAGAGAGGAGTAGATACAACATGTACCTCTTCAGAACAGGATAGAGATTTTGCACAGCAGCCATGTTGGATAGCAGGATCAATAGATTATTTTACCCATGGGAAAAAATTTTCTTTCTTATGCAAAATATTTTCATTGTTCCTGCCATCCAACATGGCTGCTGTGCAAAACTTCTATAGAGATGCATTGTAGGCCCAGATAACTACCTCCCCCCACCCCTCCCCAGCAATTTGCCAAGTTTTCCCAACAGTTAGTACCCAGTTACATCTCAGGCCACTAACACAACAGTTAAAGGAATGCTTTGTCTTATTTCTCCTTGCAATATCACCTCTGAATCAAACATTAGGGTCATGTGAATATTGGAAACAATCAACAACTAAAGAATCTCCTGATTATAAAGTAAATTCTCTTTGTCAGCATCCAAGGGAATGTATAAAGAAGAGAGTGGAGAATATGCAAACTGATGTTATGGTGTAAAGGGTTAAGTGTTAGCCCTTCATCAGAGTAAAATTAATGACAAAGGCTCGACACTCAAAATATCACATTCAGCTTTGGAAACACTTTACCATGGCCAATATACAACTCAATATTCAATAACCTATGGAACTGATTGGACAACCAATCAGAAACTGACACATCTTTGCCCAAATGTGGAATCAAAGAAGCAGGTGATAGTTTCCTAAATGTAAAGCGCATGCAACCACTTGCTAAGATGTCATGATAAAACTTTGCCATCACCATAATTGATCCACATTTTCATAAGTGACCTCAAAGGTCTAACATGTTGGATGCTGGCTGACTCAGAGCAAGCAATAACTGCAGTAGCTGGTCAAAGCTGTCGGCTAGTCTGCCATCTTAAGGCTAAGACTATCACCTCATTTTACCATGACAGAGGGTCTGGGGCATTTTTAACCAATTGTTCCAAATCTTGAAATAGAACAACAAAGCATCTGCCAGAACCTGGCTGCTATGTTGTTATATCATTGCTGACAGCCCTGTTAAACCAGGCATAACTGCACTTTACCCTAACTTACATCACTGCCATCCTCTCCAGGTTGCCCTTGGGGTCCAGGTTGGCCAGGACGACCCTAATAGCATACCAGAAAAATATTTTATCAAATCAGATTACAATACCAAACAATACACTTGGGCAGATGATTCAGTTCCTGGAAAAGTGATTGGAGAATTCAATTGCAATGACCTATTTTCTGCTATTTTCCTGCTACATTTTTCTCCTAAAAACCTGAACAATCTTATAGTTATTAACAAACAGGTGTTTTGGACACTATTCTTCAAATAACAGCTAAAAACCAGACAAAATTAAGACAGGTTTAAGCTATAAAAGGATTTCTGTAATGCCCTATCCCTGAACTCATGTGCTTAACAAAGGAAAGGTCCAAACAATTTAGGTTAAAAGATTTACATTTATTTAGTGCCAAATTCATAAATGTATTAGGGACACATGTTTAAAAAACAATAATTAAGATTTTTGAAAGATGTTAGAACCCAGTTAAGGTTTGTTTGAAATTGTTACAAAAACACTGATTTTACAGTTATAACTTATCGCTTGAGTACTACACATCACTGAGTGGATGTCCTGGCCCTGAAATGCCACACTCAGTACAATGGCTGCACTTGGAATATGCAGATAGATTTGTTGTTTTACGCTAACTTACAGGGGGGTATGCAGGGGGTATGCAAGGGGGTATGCAGGGGGGTATGCTGGGGGTATGCAGGGGGGTATGCAGGGGGGTATGCTGGGGGTATGCAGGGGGGTATGCTGGGGGTATGCAGGGGGGTATGCAGGGGGTATGCAGATAGACTGACTTACAGGGGGGTATGCAGGGGGTATGCAGGGGGGTATGCAGGGGGTATGCAGGGATGCAGGGGGGTATGCAGGGGGGTATGCTGGGGGTATGCAGGGGGGTATGCAGATAGGCTAACTTACAGGGGGTCCTGGCTCTCCTGATCTACCACGCTCTCCTTGTGCACCTGCTTGCCCCTAAAAGGTGAGAAAAATTATAATTCTTTTGCAATCAAAATGCATACAGAGTGACTATCGAAGGAGATAATAACAAAACAAAAACTTACAAAAAACAAAAACAATTATAACATAACCAAAGTAAAGCGCACACTCTGATTGGTCAATTCAGCATCCACCATTTGACCGTGGGTGTATGCTGCTGATGTGAGCAAATACAAAAGACCAGTTTCCCTCATGTGCTTGTTTTTTCTGGTCACATAAGATTTGTTAAATAAAAGAAAACTCTTTTGCTACAATGTATCAATGTTATGTTATAAAATAAATGGTAAATGCCACAGCTTACACTAGTGAGTTATCGATGCACTTGTGAGGATTGCGAAGTACTCAAGAAGCTAGAGTCACTCTCGGCTATTGCCTGGCGTGACTTGCGCTTCCTTCATGCTTAGTGTACACAGTGGTATTCACCATTTGTTAAATGTTACAAAAAAATTATTCTATACTTACTAGTGGTCCACGTTTTCCTGGGTTTCCTGGGGGCCCTCTTGCACCCTAGTTTTTCAAAAATACACAGTTATAACATTTAATATTTGATGACATTTTTCTTACCTAGCTTAGTGTTGTATTAATCACTATCACCCAAACCTTTTCTTGTTATAACAACATCATTAACTCTTACTCCACAATTTAAGCCACCAACTGTATAACCATCTTTTCTGCAATTTTTTCAATTGCAGCTCCCGTCAGCCTGCAAGGATCATTCTTTTATTTCTATATCACCTGAAGTCATAATGTGATCTGTTTTGCTAGATTTGAAAGGAATGACAATTCATCTAACTAATTTTTCCTGGTTTCAACATTATGTGGCTTCATCACAGTTGATGAGAGGACCCAATCTGGAAGACATAAGTCTGAATCCCATCCAAGCCTTTTTGCCTCATTTTGTCTATTTTCCTCAGACTTTCCTTCTTTAATTTCTTTTATCCTTTGACAAAAATTTTGATTGTTAAACAAGTTCTCCTTGTCAGCACCTTAGAAAATGTATAGAGAACAGAATGGAGAATATGCATACTGATGTTAGGGTGTAAAGGGTTCATAGCAGATGGTTTTTCACCTACTAAGATCGTGGTCAATGCGATTTACAAAACATATGTTTTGAGTAAACCCCGGAAACGATTAACATGTAACTTCTCCCTAAAATATCCACACATTATCCAGCAAACAGGTAATGAGAACACTCAAACTTATCAGCTTGTTATTTCGATCTAGCACCAAATTCTTATAAATAATTTACTAGGAAATGTGTAGGAGCTCGAAGGGAGAATTCACAATCAAATCGGACTGAAAGGGTTTAATACAACTTCAGTTTTCGTCTAAACATATACACTTAATAGGCAATAAGAACAATCATCAAAGACTAGTGAAAAATTGTTCACAGCTGCTACTCATGTAGCATTTCATCTCAGGTGAGACACAAATCAGGTACATTTATGAATTTTCAAGCAAACTTGTTGAGCATCATGTTCAAAGACCCATTTGTAATGTTCAAGAAGTTGGCATTCTAGATTTTGTATTGCAAAAGGATTCTCAAGTCACATTTGCATATTAAATACATGTGGAGAGTCTTACCGGAGTTCCAGGTTCACCTTTGATGCCTTTCAAAGGACCAGGTTCAGGTCCTTTTTCCCCAATCTAAAATGATCAATAAACATTTAATAATCAAAAAAATATGTAAAGTTTACAATTCAGCAGAGTTCCTTCCTTGCTTTGATTTTTTAGTCTAATTCTCTCATAAATCATGGACATCTTTCAATATTAATTTCTCTTTTTCCTTTTTTTTCAGGAAAACTTTGAAAGTTTTTATCTATCACCATATGCAACTTCAAAGCCACTTCTAAGTTCCAAAGCCCCTCACAGTCAAAACTAGGCTTATGGAAAAGGAATTTTATTAGCACCGGAATAAAAATTGATTTCAGACCAAAGGCTTTGCATGCACCCTCACTAAGCTGACTTCTCCTTTACCATCTCAAAAATTAAGCAGCTCTTCAAACAGCGATCATTAGGTAGCCACAGCAAGTTGAGAAAGCATTTTTCTCTGTGGTTGAACTAAAGAACTTCCAGAAACAATTTTGGTCATCAGTAGTCAAATTGCTGATTCTCTTGCTTTCTAAATGAACCTTTTGACCCTTAAAGAGTGACTAGCACCTGATTTTTCCCTTCAATGTTACCCCTGAATCACACATTAAGGTCACAAGAATAAAGAAATGGTCATCAACTAAAGAAACACTTGATTGTTAAACAAATTCTCCTTGTCAGCAGCTCAGGAAATGTATAGAGAACAGTATGGAGAATAAGCAAACTGATGTTAGAGTGTTAAGGGTCAAGTTGGATAACATTGGCACTCACAGCTCCAATTGCACCTCCTGGAGGCCCCTCTGGTCCAGCAGGTCCGATCTCTCCTGGATCACCTCTTGGACCAGGTCTTCCTGGATTACCCTGCAACACAAGCCAAACAAATTTTAGGGATCATCAATCACCATTTCTGAATTGCGGGCCTATAATAATTATGTGAGTTATTACTTTTTCTTGGGCTTCCTGTGGAAAAGCTCAAGTTTCAAGTGCAGTAGCACTTGTCATCTACCTTCCAAAAAAGGCACTTTTGGTGATTCTGTGCAGGCGCTTGACAACTAATTTAATCATCAGCCAATAACCTTGAAATGATTCACAATAGCATTGGGTTTGCCCCTATACTTATATTCTTTTCATTCAAAGATGCTTAGAATTAACTCTCAAAATAACTTTTTTGGATGAAAATTTGGGTGTTTGAGGTGAAGGGCAATTGAAAGAACTGGATATAAAGTAAATTCCCTGGTTTTTTTGGTCTCATTTTGTGAGATTGCTTGCAAGTTTCCAAAAAGAAACAGAATCACTGACTTACAAGAGTATCACTACGTTTATCAACGCTCCCATCACAGAGGGAAACCCAAGTGAGTGTCTAGCTTCTGACAATTTTCTTCTTACAAATGAAGTTCAACCCAGAATCTCACATAAAGGTCAAGACAATAATTAAAAGGAAACGATCACCACCTAAAGCTCTTGATTGTTAGACAAATTCTCCTTGCCAGCAACTTAGGAAATGTATAAATAACAGTATAGGAAAATTCAATACTTGACAGGAGAACTCCACATTAAATTGTTGGCAAAAACAGATATCGCACCAATTGCAAAGTGATGAGTGCGATATCAGTCGAGTAATGGATTTTCCTTGAATCACATAATTAAATAAAAATAAGAAAAAAAAAAGGAAACAGCATTACTTGTGGTTGGTATGTATATATAGATGCCAAACAATATCACTTAGCTTCATTTTCAACTCACAATTCTACCCTTCATTATCCCATCAAAATGCTAGATTTTATTCAAGTATGCAATTTTACGGAGAGTATGCATACCAATGCTAGGGCATTTAGGGCTAATGTATAGTTGATATTGCCATTTGGCTGCTGACACATCACTCATCTTTCCCATCACTTTGTCTTGTTTCTTTGTTGAATTTTCTTGTCAGTACAAATAATAACCAAAATAATACATTGTTTCTTGTAGATATGGAATTTATCTTATCATGTTCCATTTGATATCTCTTTTGTTTGCAATGATCACTTGCAGGATATCAAGTTGAACACTCAAAGATAAATTTTCATATTCATATTCTATACATGACTGCTAGATGTTTCAATTTAGTCTGTTGCTGAGTAGTGGTCTCTTGTCACTGACTACGTGGATTTTTGGAAATTAATACAATCATGATTAAAACCATACATACATCATATCCTTGGGGTCCTTCTTCGCCCACAGGTCCTGGCTCTCCACGATCACCCTAAGGAGATAAAAATAATCGAAGTGACACCATGATGAACTTGTGGATATGCTGTGCTGAATTATCAATAATTCCATGGGCATGCATTGGATATGAGATGGTAAATGGCCAACGGGGCTGCTAAAACTATTCTCCTATCCAACAAGAGCAAAATAATGTAATGATAATTGTTTTATTAAATCAACTACTTTTTGGTAATGGCGCGGGAGCTTACTACATTTAATATTTTGTTTTAATGTTTGAAAAATAGAGACACCATTACCAAATCATTTTCCATATAAGGTGATTTGGTATAATATGGGCTAGTAACCGGAGTTGAGTAAACCAATTAAAATGCTAAAAATGCAAAATTAGAAGTTTAAAATTTGTTCTAATAGCTAGTGATCTTGTAATTTTAAGAAATAGAATTGTGTCATCATAACCACAAGAGTCCTCTTAATTGCTCAGCCATATCAAACAATCATTCCACAAAAATCAAATATGTCAGTTTTATGTTCTCCAGCAGGTTTATTCATTGTGAGATTAATGTACCTTAGGCAAGGATGGGTTTAAACCAAGTTGACACTTAAGTTATATCAGCATCATGTGGGGGGGGGGGGGGGGGGGGGGGGAGCTCCAGGTAGGTTTGGTACAGAACTATCTTATTAGCTTTCTGCCAATTTGCTTTGCTACCTTTCTAAATGCATTTCATCCCACTATCACGGTAACTATTTATTATGCACGCTTTTTTCTGTTGCTGTTGTTGGTTTGACAAATAGGAAATAGGCTGTGGTTTGGTTACCATGGTAATCTTGCCTTTGTCAACACCTTTCTAGTACCAACTGTCGGACACCATTGACAAAGTTTTTTATATGCATTTATCTAGATTGATTTATAATTATACTGATTTATTGATTATATAACAAGAGAAAATTAGATGCCATACCTAAATGGACTATCTAGAACTTGGAGCTTTCATTGTTTTAGTCACCAGGGCGAATTGTAAACAATTTGGGCACCATATTCAACTGGTCAAAGCAGTTCATTACTCAGTACTTGAAGCTTTCACTGTTTTATGCGCCATTGGTTACAAACAAAATTCAGCAAAAGTTGCATGTTTGACCACTTGTGTTTGGCAATCTGCTGCATGCTGTTACATTTTGTTTAAAAGCTCAAAAAATGCAATGGGAATATTTGATAAAAAGTTGGGCAATTGACTTACTGGATCACCATTTGCTCCTCGAGAACCTGGGTTTCCTGGCTGTAATGTTAAAAAGAATTCAACAATAAATGAACATTCCTGCTAGACAATCAACACAGCAAGAGAGAAGACAACTGAAAAATCAAAGAGCTCTAATTTTAGAAGTATACTGACTAAGTCTCTCAAACTTTCCTTACTAAAGAGGAAATTGATGCTTTCAATCCTCACCTCTCTTGAAAACTCACTTTCTTGTCTGCGATACTGTTTGAAAGTAGGACTTTGATAACCCTTTAATTGATGTGAGTGCCTAGAATTTGACCTCTCCTCACAATGTCAGACAAACCAGACCCTTAACCCTTTAACTCCCAGAGGTGATTAAGATGTAACTTTTCCCTATAATATCCATACATTATCCAGTTAACAGGTAGTGAGAATACTCAAATTTATCAGGTAAAAGTTGCTCCCTTGATTCAACACCAAATTCTCCTAACCAAATTACAAGGAAATGTGTAGTGGCTAGAGGGGAGAATTAACAATCAGATCTTGGGAATTAAAGGGATTACATGCTTAGAATCTGATTTCTCTTAACAATGTCACTGACAAACTAAACATAAAAGTAATGAGAATAAAGGTAATGTTCACTTGCTACAGAATCACTTTATTGTTAAACAAAATAATTCTCCTTGGTAATACCAAGGAAAATGTAAAGAGGATGTTAAGGAGAATATGCATGCTGATGTAAGGGTGTTACTGTGCAATACTTACTATGGGAGGAAATGTAGGTAGAGGATCTACAGCAAAACAAAATAAATAAGCAATGAGTTATACAAAATGGTAATTTTTCTTATTTAGCATGCACCTCTGATTTTTGGTATGTGGCAGCTCACAGAAGGAAAGAAAACATCTTAGTTTTAGAAAACTTTACTTTTTATTGTGATAAGCAGAAGTTACATGATTGTACATATATTCTGTTTATCATTAAATGAAAAGAACATAGTTACCTCTTCATCTGTGCAGTGCAGCTTCCAAAAGCTGTTAATTTAAATCACTGGCAACTTACTGTAATTAGTGAAACAATAGTAACTACATCCATTATAGCAGCAGAGTGGCGGAGGACGGTTGACGACCTTTTGGCAGTCCCGGTCTAATACACACTCATTATCATCTTTGACAGTTTTACAGGTAACTGGCTTTACCAATGGGCAGTAGCTATTTCCTGGAATAAAATAGTTATAAAAATGTCATATTAAGTAATAGCAAAAAGCCCGAAGTAAAACAGACGTGGAGAGATTGTGGGACTTCAGTATCACGAGCTTTTAGATGACAAAGGGTGAAGTTGTATCATATCAAGTTTGCATTGGCTTTGCATGATATTTTCCTGTTTGGTTTTTCGTTCTGATTAGTTTGGTCTTAGTTTAAAACACTCGGTTAAAGAGTGCTCTATCTCTATAACCTTTTGACCTCTAAAGGTGAATGGCATCTAATTTCTTTTTACACTATCACCCCCAAGTCACACATCAAGGTTAAAAGAAAAAAAATGAAATGATCGCCAACTAAGGAAACTCATGATCATTAAACAAATTCTTCTTGTCAGCACCTTAGGAAACGTAGCCAAAACAGTATGGAGAATATGCATACTGACATTATAATAGTGTAAAGAGATAAACTAGAAACAAATGGTATGTTCAATGAGAGGAAGAAACATGACAAACACAGAGTCAAAATTGTGGTGCTGAAAGGAACAAAGCAAATGGCACAGTCACTGTGGTAGTATGAAATGATATTATTGTGCTGTTAATCTGTTAGTATCAAGCTCTTATAACTTGGAAAATTAGAATCTTATGAATTTCAGTTGTCATTCATTTAATACGTTTTAAGATTTCAATGAACTTGGTCTAATAATAAAAGCTCCTTAACCGAGAGATTGACCTTCAATTGAATTTCAAACAACTTTGCATAACATCACCATTACCTTATACATTTACAGGCCAGGATTCATTCATTGTAAATGCCACATGCAACCCACCAGATGAGTGTTCCACACATTTACACCCCATCAAAATAAGTTATCTTTAGTTATAACAAGCCCAATACATAAAAATATAACATGGAAGTAACTAGGAAGTGTAATGATACCCAGTGTACAAAGTTAAATTCAACTGAACTATTGAAACACGTTAGAAATGCTGGGTAATTTCTCAAAAAACATGTCTACTACTATATCCACACCCAGCGTAAAGCAAGTATTTCAGCAACAAGTGGGTCCCTGGTACAAGTTCTATATCACTGCCTTTTTGCTGCAGTAACCATTTACTCCTAAAAATGACTGGCATCTAACTTCCGCTAACAGTATCACCCAACATCAAAAGTAAAAGTCATGAGAATAAAGGAAATGATCTCCAATTTGGGAAGTTCCTGATCATCAAACAAATTCTCCCTGTCAGCACTATATGAAATGTACAGAGAAAAGTGTGGAGAATATAAATACCCATGATAGGGTGTGAAGGGTCCATTTATGTGACCTGTCTCTGGTAACTGCAGAAGTGAATCAATTAGAAGCCTCTTCAAGTGAGATGTACAAAAAAAATGAAACCTGGCCTGTAGAAAAACTTCTAAATTCATATCTATATATATGGGGTTGTAGCTAAGAAATTACGCTACATTACACTGCGTTGAAATTTCAAGTAAGAAGGCTAAAGAGAGGTAAACTATTGTAAGTGGGTATAACCTCAGAAGTGCCCACTGTCCTTTACTAAGCAATTCCCAGCCAAAATTCCACCTGGCAATTGCCGCTTTTCCATTCAGCAAATTTTGCTAGCAGTTGGAGCTTAGCTTCAACCTTGTATATTATTTATTTCAATTCACACAAAAACTTTAACCACATAAATAATTATGCATTAAATTAAGCCTGATGAGAACAGCACTTGTGTGGGTGTAATAGTGAACAACAAGTGCTTCCCTGTAGGTATTAACATTACACAGCAGCTAGTATTACTTAATATAGCTGTAAGTTGTAGTTATATTTACAGCTTAAGTTAACTAAGTTTAAACTTAGCTTAACCTGGGAACAATGCTAGAAGGACAGGCGTTACACAGCATATTATAAGTAACATTTGGACTGCTCATTTACTCTGAGCTAGCTGGACTTAGAAACAGGAGAACTGAATGAGGCTGGAAGAAAGGTTTTCAGTGAACGATTAAGACAACAACTTTTAGGTTTGCGTTGTTGGTGAACCTCAAGTTTAATTTATCCCTAGATCTAAGTTTACTGGAAATCATTAAGGTGGCACAAAACTATTAGCGACAAAAGCTTTATGACTGTTAGTTTTCAAGAAAATACATATCAGGGTTAACAACCCAAACAAGTTATAGGGCCACAAAAGTGAAATTATGATTATCAGAATAAATCAGAGTGGTTCAACAATTTTTGACTGTTATCAAAAGATGACTAACTGTTGAAGCTAAAATCTTGATTAACCCCTTCACTGCTAAGATTTCTTTAGGCAATTCAGATCTCACTACAGTCTACCATTTACAATTCTTATGTTAGTTCAGAGAATGTGGAATTTAATCACCTGATAATCCCCCAGTTGATATTTCTCCTAATTCTCATCACTTATCTGCTTGATATTGTATTGATATTGTAAGGAGAAACACTGTCTTGATCACTCAATGGAATTAGAGGGTTAATGGTAAAACAGCCTCTAAACACCTCTCATTGACCCTTTTCAAATTTGATGACGGAATCTTTTCTTAAAAAGATTTCAAATTTACTACCTCAGTGGAGCAGATATAGCTTAGAAATGTTACTTCTATAACTTTTCTTCAGGTTAGAAAGAGATTAGCGAGATTTATGCAACCTAAGCCACAATCATTAGCAAAAATGGACGACGCACGATGCAAATAATGAGTTGAACAGCTGATCGATTATGCGAACATAATGTGGTAAGAAAGAAGAAGTTAAAAGCGTGATCACAATGAGGCTACACAATCATGCCTAAAATCACTGGTGCACGACTAAATGAATCAAGTGTTAGAATCACAACATGAACGATGAGGAGAATTAGAGGAAAATTAAGGAAAAGCGGTGAAATATACAGCACTGTAGCGCTGCACTGCAATGTTGCATGTATTCCCAGAATTGATTAGTATCGTTCGTTCCGCTTACCTGTATTTTTAGCTGTTTCTTGCGCTCTGGAAAATCTTCATGGCATTTCCAAGCCTGCGATATCTCGACGAAAACAGCTGATTTCAACCCGAAGGAATATTGAAGAATTTAGATGGAGGAAAGAAAAAACTGCGTGCCTTTTACTAGCCTTGTTCCCAGGCTTTCACGGCGCGCCATCCTCAGTCTATAGAAACTCTGTAAGAGTCATGTAAGGACTACAAACTTAAATTTTTTTCTACGAAATTTGCGACAAATCTTGCTCGGCTTTACCTTTGAGTAAATATCAAAAGCATTCTTTATAACTTTGAGTCCTCTGCTACAGTTGAAAAGAGGATTCAAGACGAATATAAGCAATTTTTGAGAGAATTTTTAATCTATCTTTTAAAAGTTCTTCAATGGGATGTCTTTTTTAGTGAAAACCGCAAAGAGAACATTGAGAAAGAAACAAAAACGTTTCGTAACAATCCAAGCCAGCACTGAATGCTTCATTTCAAATCTCAATCGCCTTTGTCCACCATGTAACAATATCTGAGTCAAGCGAGAGTAACGCCATTTTCAGAAGAAAATGCTATTGTGAACGATTTAACGTGACTAAAAGATATTCACTTATTTTTGGCAAAAATAAATGATCTCTTTGATCAAAAAATCAGACTATAATGCTCTTGATAGAGAAAGTTATTTCCCTAAAGAAGTTTTATTGTTTTAAGGATCGTTTCTACCTTCAAAAATCGTGTAACGCCTTTGAACCCTGGCAATTTTGCGGCAAATTCCGAAAGAACTTGATTTGAAACATATCATCTTTCACCTGGACCTCAAATCACGAAAACCAAATATAACTCTCTTTTGTGCTCTCTGTCAGAAAAATCAAAAAAAGGAAACTCTTCATAACTCTAATCAGCCCTAATGTAGTTTCGAAAATTTGGACTGCTTTTTACAGCGTAAAATGCTCGTTCTTTTCTTGCTTTTGTTTATTGTTATTTATGTTGTAGGCTACCAATAGAATTTCCCGCAGGATTTAGCACCTATCTCTTCCTTTTTCTTGAAAATCCCTGAGAGAACACATTTACTTTGTCTAATTATTCTAAACGATCTCTCTAAATGGCATAGAAGTCGCAATTTCCACCGAAAATTCGAAGCTACATTTGATCCTTAACAGGACCGGCTGGATGTGAGCTCTCATTCAGTAGACAAAAGCCCTTTGTGACCGTCTAACGCAATGCCCAATTTTGAACTGCGGCAAGTTAGCTCAAAAAAAGAACTCTTGCGTTCGAGATAAATACTAAAATTCCTCATATTTGGTTTATTTCTGACAGATTCTTTCACAAGCGAAAAATCTGAGCTGAAATTCCCCGTGGAGTAGAGAGAGTGACCAGAGTTACCGTGGAACAATATCCCTCACATTTGCAAGAAAATGGAAACTCGTAGACACAGTTAGAATAAACAAGTATCAAAGATTATTTCATTTTACCATTTCTGAGTAAAAGTAATGTTTTTCGAAAATCTGTTGATAAACCTTCAGAATCTAGAGAAGCGCATTGCACACGAATAACGTCGACGTGCTATTGGTGCTCTTGAAAGAGCGCTCCTTTGTTGCCGGAGCGAGGATATTCTACAGCAAAAAACGTAAAATTGCTTCACTCGATTTCCTCCAATTTTCGATACCGGTAAAATTCAATAGCCAGCTATGGAGAAATAGCTGAGAGAAAGCGATGTTAACTTGCCCATCTATGTGATCTCACGAGAGCTATATCATGAAAAAGCCCTTGTGTGGAAAATGTGTGATCATGATCCGATAGCATGCGAATGCAATGTTTCTGCGCAAATCTGCGCCGAAAAATATTATGCTAAGCTGCCACATACCAACGAAGCTAACTTATTGCAACCCAAAACTTAAAATGTTTCCTTTTACATAAAAATCCAAGCTGTATATGCGGTAATAACTAGAAGAACACATTCCAGCTAACCACGTCCATCAAACTTACCTTGCGCCTCTACGAGAATAAATAATGAAATTCCAATTAGAAATGTCCTAATCGCAGCGGAGGAAAACATGGTGGCAGTAAGCCTTCTTTGGCCGCCCTAGCTGGTGTAAGATGCTTCAGAGCACTAAACACCAATCTTTGGACCTTACAATGCCACTATAAGACAATAATGGTGGATGCGATGGCAGTCGCTTGAGGCGCGGTTCGCGATCAGGCTATGAGCTGAGTGGTGAACGAAGACATTCAAGACCTTGCAAACTGACACCACTTCTATTGTATTACAGACGCCAGATCAGACTTTCGACTGAATTGTCTTTCATAAGATCACATCTCTATGCCTCTTTCATTCCTGCAATCCCGCGCGGCATTTCGGCCTTACTTGAGAGAATAAAATTTAAAAAATGAGGAGCTGGTTATGAGATGAAATCATACATTCTTTAGAAGTGTAGTCACAAAACTCCTTCTATCCTGATCTATTAACTTTTTTTTTTTTTAGGGAATGCTTTTAAAGGCAAGCAGAGAAAACAGCTAACTCTGACAACAAACACTTTCAAGTGGAATGCGTGACACAGGCTGCGTCACCTCTCTTATGTGACCTTGAAGTGGTTTTCTCTGCGGGATTAAAATGGGTTGAATTTCAGAACTTTGCCTCACACCAAACCAACAATTGTTTATTATAAAACTGTAAAGGAAAATAGACTTTTTATCGATTTTACCTGTTATTTGAAACTGACCCAAAGGGTTTCACTCTCTAAGCCTTGATTTCTTTTAATTTTTTTTTACAGAATGCGAAAAAGCATAACTTTCTTTGAATATTACTGCTTCGAACCACACAGCGTTATCAACAGGGCTTTGTTATTATTCATTGCGGAGATAGTGTTAAAACGTTGGAAAAGTCACATGTAATGACGTGACAGAGAATTTTGATCAAGAGATTTTGAAATAACTGGATTGTCACAAAGTTCCATTTTATCCAGAACATTTACATCCAAGTTAAAAAATAAAAACACATAAAAAATCCGAATTATCTCGCCATTGCAAGCTGTGGCCTAGCCCCTGAACCTACGCAAGAGGAAAGGCACTCACTCGTTCATCAGCTTCCTCGCGTGGGAACAGACCTCGCGCGCCAACATTCCCCAACACGGAGAAAAACTTTCTGCTCTGACGTGCTGACCTTCTTTTGTAAGAGATAAAGTAAAATACTGCTTTACCCTCACCCCTAACCCCAGAGATTCCCCCCCTTTCCTACTCTAGACCCCCCCTGTCTCGCCTCAATCTTAAACGAGGTTACCGTAGTTGGAAACATGGCGGAGTATTTGAGTTTTCAATGTGACAAGCATACGCAAGCGAAATGAAAAAATCGAGATCGCAGTCCAAGAGAGGGATTTGTAATCCTGATCCTCGAGTAATTTCTGAAGTACAAAGTGTGTTGCGCGGGAGAATTTTCCACGCCGGTGTACCACCTCAACTACATGGCTTGGAAGAGCAAAATAGGTTAGTTGTACATATGAGGTTCGAAAAGTTATTTTTTTTAATCTGCCGTGTGATCGGCATCAAGCATTTCTGTTTTTCTCTAAACAGGGAGTTACTAGATCTTATCCAAAGGTGCGCACAATATGGAGAAAGCAATTCTGTTTTACTGATTGGTCCGAGAGGCAGTGGAAAGTCCCTGGTGAGTTCTCTTAACTGTCTTAACCAGAGGTGATAAAACATTTAATTTCTCCCTATAATACCCCTACATTATCCAGCATTATCCAGTGCTTAAACGACATAAACGTCTAATACCAACTGGTGCTAAGAAACGTCTCTACGAAGCATTTATATTATCGCATCTTAATTATTGTTCTATCATCTGGAATCATTGCGGCAAAAAGAATGGCTAATAAACTGGAGAAAATTAATGAGGGATGTCTCCGTTTTGTCTTCAATGACTTTCACAACACTAATGATAGATAATTGGATTACATTAATCAGCCCTGTTTACAAGACCGCAGGATACATGATATGTTGACTCTAACTTAACGAGCCCTTAATGGTAACACCCCTCTATATATTAAGAATCTACTCAATGAGAGAGATACTTCTTACAACCACGTGGCCAACGTCTTCTCAATGTCCCCAGGGTTAATACTACAAACTATGGCTTACATTCTTTCCGTTATTCAGCCTGTAAACTCTGGAACTCGTTACCAAACTCTCTTAGAACCGCTCATACGACAAAGGCGTTTAAACTAGCTGTGAATCGAATTAAAATTTAATCGTGATTGTTGTTCTTTTTGTAATTTAGCTTCAAATTTTAATATCTTATATCTGTACATAATTGTTTGGTCTATTTAATTTTTATCTTTTATATCTTTGAAGATATTAGCATAGGTGTTTGCTATCTGTAATTCAAAATTAAATAAAGGTTTTCACCTCACTTCACAGCAAACAGGAAATGAGAATACTCAAACTTGTCAGACAGAAGTTATCTTGATCCATTGCCAAATGCATGTAACTAATTTACAAGAAATTGTGCAGCAGTTAGAGGAGAGAATTAACCCTTTACATCAACATCTACATCTACTTTTATTGATCAACAACACTTTCGCATCAAGTCGATATAAATGAAATGAAATACACATTAAAAATTACTATGATAAAATCCATAATAATAAAAATATATAGATATGAAAAGTATACAATTTAATGGATAAATAAATAATTAATGGTAAATATTATAATAGATAAATATGGCTGGTATCAGTCATGCCTACAGGCTTCCAAACAATGAGATTTAAAAATTGAGGCAGTCATGCAAGTTCATATATCCTGTGGTGGAGCATTCCAATTCCTAATCATTCTTGGATAAAAACTATTATAGTAATAATAATCATGATTACAACTAGCTGGAATAAAGGTATCTTTAGTAAAGAATCTAGTTGCACGTTGCTTAGGCAGGAAATAATTCAGTATAGGAAGTGCTATCAGATTATTAACTGCTAAATAAAAAATATTCAAAGGATGGGCTTTGCGTCTGTCTTTCAAAAGATCTAAATCTAGACTAATGACTTCAACATGTTTGTCACAGAAGAGGATCTACTGTAGTCCTTTTTAATAAATCTAGCTGCACGCCCCTGAACAGCTTCAATTGAGTCATTTTGGTCCTGTCTGTAAGGGTCCCACACAGCAGTGGCATACTCTAAATTTGATCTCACGATAGAAACATATGCCCAATATCAGTGTGCATACTGCTAAATTTCTCAGCAGTACGTATTGCGGAGCATTCAAATCCTACTCACACCTCTGAACCTGCAAAACACTGGTGGGAAAATCCATCACATTCTTTCACTTGGCATGTTCTCTCCTCAGTAGAAACATTCCACAAGCATAGGATTGTGAAGGGGCTAATGATCCAACAATTCCACCCCAGTTTTAACAAACAAGTTATTTCTTATGTCTCCAAACTTTTCCCATCGGGAATCACATAAGATATATATGTATATACCGACGGTCATTATTTTCAACCCTGATGATGGCAAACAGCCGAAAACGTTTGATTTAAACATTTTAATAATTTTTTTTCCTAATCTTTTAGCCTTATATATAGAATATCTTATGGACATCAGTGTGCATATTCTCCATATTGTTCTCTATACATTTCCTAAGATGTTGGCAAGGAGAATTTGCTTATCAATTAAGAGCTTCTGTAGTTGGTGATCATTTCCTCTATTCTTGTGACCTTAATGTTTGATTCAGGGGTGATACTGTAAGGAGAAATTAGATGCCGGTCACTCTAAGGCATTCTAGGGTTAACAATCAGATTTTGGTTGTTTGAGGGTTATTAATAACCTCTTTACTTTGTAATTTGGTGTTTTGTTTTCTTGCAGCTTGTGAAAAAAATTCTTGAAGATTTATCCAAAACAAAAGGAGTAAAGCAGAACCTGTTAGAAGTGCATTTAAATGGTAAGGTGCCCACAGTGCAAAGTCATGTAACAGAAACTCTGGTCATAAGATAGCTCTTTGTGTAACCGCTTCCTAGTGGTTCTACCTTGTAAAAGCTATAACAATATGTGCCACTCCAATCTAGTAGAGCACTCCTTTAACCTGTTGAATTTTCAAGAAATGAAAGCAATTTTTAGTCCTTATTAACCGAGCGGGAGGTCTGTATGGGAGAATCTTGACCAAGGTCACCAGTACAGACCGAATGCAGTGAGGTCTGTGCTAGCGACCGAGGTTAATCGCCTCCCAGTTAGCTCAATGGATAGAGCGCTGGACTGTTGTGCGGGAGGTCGAGGGTTCAAGCCCCAGCCAGACCAACACTCACGGTCTTAAAATAATTGAGAAGAATTTGCTGCCTTTCTATAACATCAAGAAATGGTTAGATATTCTAGTCTTATCGGATAGGGACGAATAAATGGAGGTCCTGTCTCCTGCAGGGTTAGGGGTAGGAGACTTTAATTTCCCACACACGAGATTACTGTGTGATGGATGTCCTCCCCTGGGGTGGGATGGCTGGGTTTATTGGGCCCGAGTGCGGTATCATTCAGGACCATTCGGGACAGTGCCCGGTCCAATACTTAGAGAATTTTGGACCGACAATAGAGCATTTTGATTGGTTGGTTTTAGTTATTGGCCCTCTGACTGCCCAAGTCGTGTAATAAAATGAGTTAACAGTCATCAAGACAAAATCATTATTGCTAGAATTCACAAATAGACTCCATGTTGCCATGGGTCTGTTTAGTAACAGATCACAGAAGACATCAAAATGTGGTGAGAACTAGGGAGTGCCCCTTCAGGAACCACTTAGCGTGTCAGTGATGTTCTTACCATATTTTTTAGGTCATCTGTGATCTATTTAACAATTATTCCACGAGCACACGTTGGATATGAGATGATAGATAGCCAATGAGGCGTGTAGTGCCGAGTTGGCTATAATCATCTCATATCTAACAAGCACGAGTGGAATAATTGTTTTGTTAAAAAAACGCCCCCGAGATATTAGACAAATCTTCTCGGCTTAATTTTGTAAGAAGAAACCGGTTATTACAATGTACAGATATTAGATTATGGTATATTTGCTCATATACCATAATGGGTAAGCCAATAAAAGGTCTTGAATTGCATTATCCAATGATCCAGTTTTTAATAGTACTTATTATAAAATAACCAAAGTAAAGCGCACACTCTGAGTGGTCAATTCAGCATCCACTATTTGCCTGTGGGTGTATGCTGCAAACATGAGCAAATATAAAGACAAGTTTCTGCATGCGTTTGTTTTTTCTGTGGGTCACATAAGATTTGTTTCTTAAAAGAAAACTCTTTTGCTACAATGTATCAATGTTGTGTTACAAAGCAAATGGTAAATGCCACAGTGTACACTATTGAGTTATGGATACACTTGGGAGGTTTGCTAGGCACTCAAGAAGCTAGAGTCACTCTCAGCTATCACCTCAAGCAACTCTTACGCTTCTTCCGTGCTTAGCAACCTCCTGCATGCATCCATAACTCTATGGTGTACACTGTGGTGTTTACCATTTGTTAAACAGATGCAGGGCAACATGGAATCTATTTGTTTTATACAATAAAGAAGCAAAATTTACTAATAATGACATTATCTATGCATTTGTCCTCCCGGTCAAGATCCAATCAGAATGAGTGTACAACTCATCTTTTTATATGAATCTCAATGTTCAACCTTTCAAGCTGAGTCTTGTTTCACATGCTGGTATTTTTTGGCCAAAGTTGATACCCTCTCAAAATTTTTAATGGGGAGAATCTCACACCTTGAAGAGAACATCAAGTAGGATTATTTTAGTAAAATGAACAAATTTTTATCTATTGTTAATCTCTTGTAGGAATTTCTGTGTTGGAGTTGTGTCTTATCATAGCTATGAAGCATCTGGTCACACTATCTGAAGGAGATCCTTTCAACTTTGAGATGGTTTACCAAGGTATCTCAAAATAATCATTAGCTTTGTCATTGCTCATTATATAGCCTGCTTGCAGGTGGTAGTTCATGTTTTAATCATACCGCCTGCTTGCAAGCAGCAGTTTGTGTTTTCAAGTGCAAGATTCAGTGCAGCAAATATTTGGTCACCTTATTGGACAGGTGGAAGATTTGGGACAAGTGACAAGGCAAGGGGAGGGAAAAGGCTTTTTCTGGCTTTTTCTCCTTCCCCCTTCCCCTTGCTTTATCACTCATCCAATATGGTGACCAAATATTCAACACGCTAAATCTCATGCCAGAAAATACAAACTACCACCTGCAACCAGGCTACTCACCATACTTTGGGAAGTACCCCCCTCCCACCTTTTAAACCAATTTCTATCGGTTAAATATTATGTGTGAAATTATGACACTGACTATGATTTTAGATTCCAACAAATATCCTATCCTTTCGAAAACTGTTTGTAATTGCTCTAAAACTTTGACTTAGGACATTGCCTCTTTGAATCTTGACATGGAACTTGGCCACCTAGCCTCTCTTTTTACATCAGTGCATCAGTCAAGGTAGACAGTTTATTAGTTTTCTTTTTTGTTTGCAGAATATCAAAAATTTGCTCAAAAGAAAGGATTATCCATTCAATCTTTTGAAAAACCTGTTGTTCTAAAGGTGCGTGTTCTCTAAAAGCAATAAACCTACTAGGAAAAAAATTAAATTTTTTACTTTTGCCAAGGTAGCAGGGGGGGTTCTGAGGTGTTGTTAACCCCTCCCTTTTGGATATTGTTACCCCCCCCCTGAAAGGATGCCAGTCTACCCACTTATCTTTAGGGCTGCCTAAGTTCAAAACAATATTAACCAATTTGGCTGCAGGTTGTAACATTTCTATCATATTTAGCACTGTCTTCTGAATATTCTCTGTACTGGTTGGCAAAGGACATAAGAGGACACATGCCCCACTCAGATTTCTTGCAAAGTTTAGGGAACAAAGTTCTCTTTGTTGTGGTCTGGCCTTGTTACCAAAATTCCAAAATTCTAAAATTGAGGGCACCAACAAAATTTCCTTTCAAACTTGTTAACTGCTCTATGTAGTTTGGCCAAAGTTCAAGGCAAATGTGATTAAACTCATCAGAGCCTAGTAATATGGATACCTAACTATTATTCACTAAAGGCAAATTGAATATTGTTGAATAATCCCTCAAGATGCAGTGGAGGGGATTATTCAACAATCTTCACTGAGCCTGAGGCAAATAATTGTTTTAGTACAGTGCTTTCAAATTCTGTTGTAAGTTTGTTTTGTTTTGATATCTGGTACTGAGATAAGCAGTGAGGTTCCATAGTGACTATAATTTTAACAGGTTTATTAAAATCAATCGGCAAAAACTTCACATCTTTCTTTTAAGTGTCATTCCAAACTTAGAAGTTTCCTTTGTGCTCTTTGAAATTGTATTTTCTTCTATTGCATTTGTCACTTCCTGTGTGACGTTGACAAAATGCAAGGCAGCCGTTTTGAAATTCAGCACCTCTACTTTAATCACCAGAGCAATTATGCTAATGTGCTATGTAAAAATTCCCACATCAAATTGCCAAATCATCAGTTTTGGTGGCTTTAAGTGAAAGTGTGAGAAATGTTTGTATGTACCTCTACAATATTATGTTCTGTTACACAAGATTTAAACTTAAACTTTATTTCCAGTGGCTATTTTAGGATTTTTAAGTTCCAAATGGAGAGCTTTAAGAAAATTTATTTGTTGAACCTGTGCATTTATACCTGCTGATTCACCAGTTTTTTTTGTGTTTCAGGCATTTGAACATTTAACAGCATTGGAGTTTGTGAACTCAATTGACAATATTGCAAAAAACACTCCTAAAGAATACAGACTTGTCACCTTGCTAGTTGATCCAACACAGATAAACAGTGCACTACAAAGATATCCTGACTGTCCAACAGAAGTCAAACAGTGGGCCACAAGTGCCATTGTATAAGTATACCTTGCTGTATGTATTTAATTTCCTAGTGGAAAAAGCATTATCGAGGAAACTTCAGACTATTAATATATTTTTGTACTTTATGAATAAATGTTGATGCTTATTTAAAATCAATTTGTTAGTCTCTTCAATTCCCTTTTTTTTTTTACCTCTAAGCATGCTGTTCAAGCTTCCTTGACTACTTCTCTTTGCAGCCTTACTTCACTTTCTGTTCACCGATATTACACCTGTATGTGAAATTGGTAACCTTAGGAAAGAAAGCTTCGTTAAAGGCAGATATGATTTCAGACCCAGAAAATATTTAAGAAGTTGGGTGCTAGAGTTGAAACCTATATTTTGATACAGGATACCACACTTTCACCTTGTCAAGTTGTTATCTATACCATGTCAAGTTGTTATCTATGCTATGTTCCCACCAATCATGTAGCTCCATTTTCTGCCTTTAAAAGCACACAACCCACAATTCCTCTATTCGCTCCGACGAAGGGCTAACGCTCGAAACGTCAGGTTTTATAACCGTAACGGTGGCCAATTTACCATTTCAATTTTGTTGATATATTCAAATTATTTTGTTATCTAATCAGTTTTCTTATGTTCAAGAAGCAGTTTGAGCTCAGAGATGTAGGACTGAATGTAACCCTCAGTCGCTCACTCTCATCCAGATTTGTGATTCAAGTCAGTTCTGTTTTCTACTACTCATATCAATCTTCACAAAATCATAACGTATTTAAATGTAAGCCAAATGTAAATGTAAGCAAAGACAGTTTTGCAAGCAAAGTTCCGAACTACGCCTCCGCACCCTGCTGAGGTACTGTACTCACTTTTAGAAACTCACCTGGACACACCCAAATTTCGCTAATCAATGGACTGAACCTCGACTGAGGCTCTGAGCCTTTTGCAGTAAACATAGAGAAAGAAATATCGAGGAAGAAACAGGCAACGCGTAGGCAGAGTTAAAGAATGATTTATCTGTTCTTTCCTGGCATTTTGTGACATCTTTGCTTCCATTATGATTTCTGTAGGATACGTCCCAGACTTACACCTTATTTTCTGTAAGACTAACGGGTCATGTGCATGTGGAGTTCTCTACCCTCTAATATAATGAATGAAGCAGTCGAAACATTTTTTATTGATAACATTTAACTTTAAAAAAAAAGGGTTTAATGTGTGTATCCTACGTGATCGTATAGCGCTAGCGTGATTATATTTCGCGTGGTAGTACGCAGACTTTCTTTGCAAGAAACAATGCCAATCATGATTTTCATTGAACTGAAATGATTAGATTGACAAAGCCTTGAATACTTCCTCTTTTCCTCTCATACTTATATTCCTCTTTCAATCTCGAACTTGTCTAATCAGAACAATTTGAGAGGCGACAAAAAATTGCGAAAGTTTTAAGACTTACAAAATGAGTCGCTCGTCCGCCATGTTGATATGATGGGGGTGATAGCTGACCGAAAAGGTACCTGCCTGCAGGCTTACATCGAGATTTAGCCAATAGGATTTGAGTAACTTGCTTCGAGAACCAATCAGATTGTTGCGCGGGAAACATCAACCAATCACCAGTGTAACAAAGTAGCGGGAACGGGCCGCGGAAACCCGCGCGTTATGTTTGTTGAGGTGAAAGAAAATATATGAACTTGAACTTCCACGTCTTTTCTATGACGAGGGGTCAGCCGAGAATTGTGAATTCTTTCTCTCTCCCTCATGGAAGCTTTCCGAAAGCTTGAGAAGATTGGAGAAGGAACATACGGCGTTGTCTATAAAGCAAAAGACATCGAAACAGGACAAACAGTCGCTTTGAAAAAGATCCGCTTAGATTCGTAAGTGGTGCAAAGTTTTGTGTATGCTAACCTTCAGTTCACCCTGGAATTTACAAATTTTTCGGTTCATTTTTAGGTTTGTTAGAAAATTAAGGACAGTGTGACTAAAACATTTCGTCTTTTTGCATTTAACTAGAGGAAACATGGCTTAACTTTCTCTAAAAGCGTAGGGATAAACGTGGCAACCTGCGAACGCAAATTGTAAGCTGGCAAGGGTTGTTTAGCCATTTATACGCTAGTTAACACTACGTTGCTTTTTTTCTCAGGGAATCTGATGGAGTTCCAAGCACAGCCATAAGGGAGATTTCGCTACTCAAAGAACTGAGTCACCCAAATGTGGTTAGGTAGGTGAAAAAAACTGAAAGCTGTACCTGTCGTGTAGGTAAGACTTCTGGTTTCTCGTGCCTCGAGTTCACTTCGAGTGAAACAAGGACAGTCAAATATTGAAGCAACTGTCAGTCTGACTACTTCTGGTCAAATGGTATGAAAAGAAAATTCTTATCCTGGCACTAAAAATACCAGAGGTCCTGTAGGAATTTTACCAATGAATGAGCGAATGGCAATGTTGGACTTGACCGAAATAAGTTAATTACGATTTGAAAAAAAAAATGCGCAAGGAGCGTCAGGGTACTGTTATGAAGCCTCTAGAGTGCCTTAAACAAAGGAGTTTTTCATTTCACGACTTTATTTTAACTTCAGCACATTTTGTGACATTTTCAACGAGAAACCAAGCTAACTACCCGTGGGATCTTCGTCCGCTTTCAATTGATTTAAATCAGGAGATGTCCACTACAATGTTTTCCCGATATTAATGAAGTGCCCTCTTCCTATGAAGTTCGACAAGAAACACTCCGCTTCTGTTTAAACGAAAGTATTTTCAGTATTTTTTTAAATCCAGGCCTTTTATATTTATGTTGAATGCTGTAATTTCATTGCACTTATGAGAATATTATGACGATTTCGATAGTTAGTATGTTCACAATAATTTCGTCTTAGATTGTTCATTTTGCTATAAAGTACGGAAATTAATGCACACTGTCTAACTTTTTGATCGTGGGATTTAATGGTGAAGGGTTTATATTTTAGGCAGACATATGCGATGAGCAAAAGGAAGGCGAGGAAACCATTGCTTTTCATTTATTGTTTGAGTATTACACCACCACGTACATTTATTATACCCACGTGTTGAATAAAGGAAGAACAATGAAACTACGTCAACCTTTTTCACGAGGGGACAATTCCTTGCAAAATATCAGGACAAATTTATTTCTCAGTTTTTTTGTGGTTGTTGTTAATTTTGTTTTCTCAATATAATTAGTCTGGAAATAAAGCAAACTCAGGATTTGTCGATGGGACCTGGGATTTGCCTCAATCGCATTAATAACTTTAATAATATAGATGAAAAGGTAATATACATCTGATTGGCTGAAATCGAGTGCATTTTTGTAGTAATAGGAGTGCAAAGTTGTAACACAAGCATACATGTGCTGTCAAAATTTTGTCTATCTTGACTTTCTGTGATGCATTTTTCATGTTAATTATTAACAATTAACAACATGGTTTTTCATGCAATTTGGTGTCAATAAGCACTTGCAAATTTTCAAAGACTACAAATTGCACACAAAATCGTGTTACTACCTGTACTATCATGATAATTATCACCATGATAATAATTTTGTACTATTTTATTAACTGTGTTGTAAAACAGAACACATGTAGATTCGATTGAAAATTTGTATTGCTAACTTTTAGAACTTTTAGAGAAATTTGGAGGCAGGTGTAACCTTTCTCTCACACAGATTGTTAGATGTGGTTCCCAGTGAAAAGAAGCTCTTCATGGTGTTTGAGTTCCTTGATAGAGACCTTAAAAAGTACATGGACTCAGTACCTGCTGGTGGAATGTCACTACCTTTAGTCAAGGTGACAGATTTTCCATCCTTGAAATTCTGTTATACTTCAGTGTTAACTGTTGTACCTGCCTTGAACAGTGTTATCACCCTCAAATATTCAAATCCCAGACCATCAGCTTTCCCACTTCAATTCCCTATGACTGAGCTACAGAGAACTTTAGTTAGGCCATTACCACGTTTAATTTACACTTTAGTTTAATTTCAGAGCTGAGCAAAGAGTTTCCAGCAATCTGATTGGTTGAGCAGTTCCTGATATAATGCTATATAAACTGCTCCACGGGGTTTATATAAAATGTTAATAAATGTTACTAAAACAATTATTCACCTCGGGTTCAGTGAATATTGTTGAATAATCCCTTAACTTCGTCTAAGGGATTATTCGACGATATTCACCTCGCCTTCAGCGAATAATTGTTAAATAAGGTTTATATTAGTGTTGGGATCAGCTATCATTTGAACAGCCTAACTCCTTTGAATAACTATACTTACTCTAATTTTTTTCATTTCCAGAGCTACCTCTATCAGTTGTTAAGTGGCATAGCATTCTGTCACTCACATCGAATCCTGCACAGAGATCTAAAGCCACAGAATCTACTTATAGATGCTCATGGATCCATTAAGCTGGCAGACTTTGGTCTAGCTAGAGCTTTTGGAGTACCAGTTAGATCTTATACACATGAAGTAGTAACCCTGTGGTATAGGGCACCTGAGATTCTCTTGGGTTGCCGTTATTACTCCACCCCAGTAGATGTGTGGAGTATTGGATGTATATTTGCTGAAATGGTCAGTACAGATGCTTTTTCCCCTGCATGTTGTATCCTCTTAAATGTGTTCCCTTATTTTTAAACATCCCCATAGACTTTTCACAGATAACCAGAAGAGCTCTTTTCCCTGGAGACTCAGAAATTGATCAGCTGTATCGCATATTTAGGTAAGTAATGGAACAAAAAAGATTTGAAACAATCTGTCAATAAATACTATAAAAAAATCTCAAGGGTTAGGTTTCTTCCAAGCATCACAGAACCAGTGCTATTGGTCTCTAATGTTAATTATATCAGAACATCTCTATCCAAAGAAGAGATATTAAGTCGTGTGGAACTTTTCTTCACAGAACATTAGGAACTCCAGATGAGAGGTTATGGCCTGGAGTATCTGAGCTCCCTGATTATAAAACCTCTTTCCCCAAATGGCCTGTACAAAATCTTCTCCAAGTTATTCCTGCTTTAGGTCAAATGGGTGCTGATTTATTACAGGTAAAGGAATATCCAGAGTAAGGTGAAAAGATAGGACAACTGGAAATGAAATTATTGTTACTCTGTTAGGCACTGTGACACTTTTTGCAGGCTAAAATAGATATTTTGGATTTAGTACTGTACATTTGCATGATTGTTCAAACTGTTTTGTTGTCAA